AAATCGTCACAGCTCCCCTCACCTTCTGTAATCATCACCCTGTCCAGTCGCAAGACCCTCCACCAGCATAAAGATTATGACTCAAGGAAGGCTCAGATGACTTTTAGAGTTTCTTAGTCAGAAAATATTTTTTAATTAAGATGTGAACTGGTGTTTTTAGACATACCACTATCAGACACTTACTGGAGTACAACATCGTGTAAATAAAACTTTCGTGAGCACTGGAAAGCCCAGAAATTCACGTGACTTACCTTACAGCGACATTCACTTTATTGCTGTGGTCTGGAACTGAACCCACAATATCTCCGCAGTGTGCCTGTACTGAGATGAGGCCAGAGGCAGAGGAACAGTAAGTTCTGACTCATCTGTGAAGGGCCCCCATCTTTCCCCTGTCTAGAAAGCCGCCCATCTCTTTAAGATGAAACCAGAAGCTTCAGGAAACCATTTGAGTATCCTCATTTTTAATTTACTTTTCCTCTTCTTATTATCACTTGAAATATTTCAAGTCTACCAAATAGTTGAAAGAATGAACTCTAACATACCCTATACCAGTTCGCCAATTGCTAACATGTTGCCATATTTACTTTCTCTCTTCTCAATACATAGACAGAGAGATATCAAACTTCATGGCGTGTGTCTCTTAAAAACATTCTCCTACATAACCATAATGCCATTATCACACCTAAGCAAAATAACATTAGCTTAATAGTATTTGATGAGTAGCCCATATTCAGATTCCCCCCATTGTTCTAATATCATCTTTTAAAGTTTGGTGGTCAGATCTTGAGTTTCGTTTACTCCTTAGTCAGTCCCCTCACACCCCCACAGGCATTTTAGTTTTCGGGAAGCCAAGTCAGTTGTCTTGCAGAATTCTATTGACAGGTTAAAAACCAATTCTGAGTTTCTCTTTCCTGCCTATAGCCCTAAAATTGGAAGCCCACTATCGAAAAGTTAACCTTGGACCCTAAAAAGCTTGCAGATCATCTTGCCAAGGACTTCTGCCCAAGCTGAACTGCTTAAGCTAGTCTCTGTCCTCCTTCATCCTCCACACACAAGTCTGTGTTTTTCTTGAGTCTGGATTTGGTTCATACAGTCCCCTCTACTTGAAATGTCTTTTGCCCTCCTCTATCTTTCCTAGGTAAATCACTTGTACTTTCAAGACTCAATTCAGATACCACCTCCTTCAGGAAGCCTTACCTGATTGCTCTGCATGGTCATTCCATTCCCCTCACCTCCTTCCTTGTCCCTATCCCTGCACTCACCACACTGTGTTCTCTTGTTACGGTATGCCAGTCTTCCCCACTAGACCATGTGATGATGAGGACCTGAACCAACACCTTACCCACCTCTACATGCCTGAAGCTCACTAAAGGTGTGGAACAAGGGACTGAGTGACAGGAGAGAGGAAGAAAAGGAAAGAGGTTCTTATTGTTCTGTTTCTCCAACCCCGGTAGAAAGAAGCCAGCAGGCCTTCTTTAAGAAAACCAGGAAGGAGATGTGGCTGGTCCCATTCCAGGAATAAGAGCTGAGAGCACCATGTCATGCCAATAGCCTTCCTCTTATCAGTGCAACAAGGAGCCCAGAATGGTGTCCCCTGCACCTTTGTGAGCTTTCTCAGGTTGAGCGCCATGGTGTAGTTTCCCTATAGTAATTAAATAGTCAACCATTAACATTCAAAAGCCAGTTGACTTGTCTTCAACGTAGCAAGAAAGATGGAGCTGGGAGGTGTCTGGCAGCTAGTGTTGGAGAGAGGGCTTCCCCAGGCAAGGATTGGATGGTGGCAGCTTCAAAGCAGGAAGGAAATAAGGCTGAGGTCTGAGGGCCTGTGACTCGGGAAACAAGAAAGCTTAGGGAACAGGCCTGGACCTATGTTTAAAAATAGATCCCTAAAGACCTTGCACTAGGAGCTGTTTTACCAGATGCCAAAGACTTTGGGCCCATGGCCAAATCTGGAAAGAATGTTTTATGATTTGGCAGTGGCTAAGGGGATTAGTGCTGCCTTGGAAAAAAAGGCAAAAGTAGGAAGGATTGTTCAGAAAAATAGTCCAAAGGCCAGAGCCCTTAAGTTTTATTCTACACACTGAGTCTGATTGGTTGGGGGGCTTGTGGTATTACTAAGTTCAGAAGGAATCTAAAGCAATCGCCAGGCTGTGATGGATCAATCCTGTCTGCATGGGGTCAGGTAGGAAACCCTAGGAAAGACACTGGGAATCAAAGGAAAAACTGAAGAGAGCACTTCTGGAAGGTCTTGTTGAATGACTTTAATCTGGCAGGGCAGGTACCTGCAGGGAAATATCATGATCTCGGTCATTCCTTAGAGCTGGGTTTGGAGTCCCGGTTCTGCCTCATTTCTCAGTTGTGTTATCTTTGGCTATTTACAAAACCCAGTCGGTAAAGTGGGATTGTCCTGAGGCCCCATTAAATAACCTATCATCATAATAGGTAACATTTAGAATTGCTTTGTCCGAAGCATTGTTCTTAGACCTTTACATCTATCCGCTCATTCGATTCTCAAAACAACTGTACGGTTATTATGCCCTTGAGGAAACTGTTGATGAGCAAACTAAAGTTCACAGAGGCCAAGAGAGCTCCCAAGGGTAACGCAGAAAATGGGTGGCAGAGCCAGGGTTCATGCCCAGACTCTCTGGCTCTGCGTCCACATTCTTAACCACCTTCATAGCTGTTACAGCCAACTACTTCCCATGGTTGATTGTTATCCCCAAGTGCCGAGCGTCTGATGTAAGCTTGATGATTTGATTTAACTCCATAGACCCTGAAGTTTGCAAGTGCGTAAGACACAATGAATAGGGCCCTTCATCTCAAGCTACCAAGTCACAAACAGAACAAGAGCATGGGTCTCCCTGATGAAATGAGACACGGCAAAATCAGGAATTGAGAATTTTGTCTCTCACAAAACACCTCTGTCCTTTTTCCTTTCACAATATCATGAAAAATTTATTCCGGATCCACCGAAGCACACAGGAAGGGAAGTCAGCCTGGGACAGCACCCTGCTTGGTCGTGTGCTAGGACCCTATGGTCTTTCACCAAAAGACTCAATGGACTATGACTCCTGTGACAGATTCTGCTCATGGGTTTTTGTAAATGAAGTTACAGGGCTTATTCTTTGGTGATCTGTCCCCGGCTGGTTTCACATTACAAAACGGAGTTGGGTGGCTGCACAGTGTACCATCTAACCCACAAAGTCACCCGCCTGGCCTTTTGCAGAAATAGTTGCTGATCCCTGCTGGCCCCTAGAGATGGGCTTTTCTGCCTGTCAGTGTGGTTCAGTGATCCAGCTTGCGTCCTTAACTAGGGGAGGAAGAGTGAGCTGCTCCCTGGGGTGTCACCAGGGGAGGTATGAAGGTGATGTCCACAGAGGAACCAAACTAAAACCAGATGTGGACAGAAAGGATATTGCACAGTGTTCTCTGAGAATGTTAGTCAACCTTAAGTGATAAAATGGTTCTGGGGTCAATGGGGAGCCATGGTGTGTCACAACCCCAAGCTCACGTTTCTGTTGCCCCGAAGACGCCATTATGCCTGGAAGTGTCTGAGAGGGTGATAAGCATTCACAGAATGTATTTTCCCTATGAGACTAATTTCCTCAGAACATGATTTTGAAAATGATGAAATAAAAGAAATATTTAGAATCATGATGCCTTGGAACTAGAACTACAAGCCTTGAAGGCTGTTGGTTAATAAGCACTTCTCTCTCTCTCAGCAAGAACAAAGATGGAGAGCCAGGGAGGGGGGCATTTGAAGTGAGGAAGACAGAAGACCTGTAAGGATGTGAGGAACACTGGTCGGAGCAGACAAGCGGAGGGGACAATGTGTCCAAGGCAGAGCAGCTGCCCAGTGCAGGACATGGGGTCGCTTTCAGCATCACCACTGCCACCATCAGCAACTCCAGAAAAGCCCATCTTCCCAAGGCCTCGGCTCTGAAGGCCCTGTGTTCTGTCCTTTAGACATGTCATTTGATTGTCATTTTACAGTTGAGGAAACAGAGGCACACAGGCAAGTAACTTTCCAGAGTCAAAGTCTGTCAAGCTGATCAGTGCAATGCATAGCTTCACCCCGGGATTCTGACCCCAGTGCCGTGTTCTCACCATGACACTCCACGCATTTCATGGAGAACTGGGGATCCATTAAGCCACACAAAAAGAAATGTACAAATATATAGGAAGACATTTGCAGAAGACAAAACAAGCCAGCAAACCAGTACCACCTAAAAGAAATACTTGACTGCCCAGGGCCAGACAGCTACAACTGATTCTTTTTTTCACAGCACAGCCAGAGGTTAGGATAGAAACCCATTCTCTTTCTCTCTTTTGTGTTAATTATTCCTTTTTAACTTATGGCAGAAGATGAAGATTGGCTTTGTTAAGCTTATCCGATGAGCAATGCAGCATGTGCTCATAAAGTAAACATAACCTGCCGTTTTTGAATGTGAAAAAGCATTTTCAACCTGAACACCATGACAACTGCATTTGCAGCAAGTCTCATTTAGATTTTCGCGACTGCCAGTTCTTTTTTTTTTCTTTTTCTCTTTTTGGAGGGGGATCTCAGAGCCGCTTCCTAAGGACAGATTCCAAAAACATGAATCACAGTTCAGTTAAGTCTTTCCTGGCTCCGAAGTACACATGCATTAAATGCTAGCATTTATCTGTGTCCTAACCAACCACTGATTTCCATGCTTAAAATATGATATAAATAGTAAATCCTACTGGATGCATAAATCTGGACAAGCAGCCCCACATGTGACAAACTTGAACACTGAATGTCCTGAATTTGCAGAGATGATCTCCACCCACCCCCAAAAAAAAATTCCTTTGGCAGGCTATAAGCATCTGCTGGGGGGGGGGGGCTCCTGAAGGCCGAGTTTGTGAGAATAGTTTACTTCTGATTTACTTTCTGGAGTCTATAGCAAAATAAACGACTATTGCAGGCAGGCCAGAGTAAAATGGGAAGGCTGCCCTGCAGCTTGTAAATGTCTATTTACCTGTGGCTGGTGAGGGCAGGACTTTGGGCTCCAATGTCCAGAAGAGCTGCAGGGCAGAGCATTCAAATTGTGGCTGGCCCCGGGCTGCAGCCCTTCATGCTGCTTCAGCTGCTTCTAAGACTCCATTGGAAATCCCAAAGGGCTAGAGAGCCCCACGGCCAATATTAGATTTCCCAGAGAGCGGTCCTCTCCCAGCCGCAGCCCCCTATGCTTGCATTGACTTTAGAGGACTCTGGTTTCTCCCCACCCTGTGTGAGCAGCTGGGAATCCAGGCAGTGCGCTGGCTGGCTGGCGGAGGGAGGTGGCCCCTGAAATGACTTCCAGATGTGCCGGGCAGGCTGACTGGGATGGGCCAGGCTTCTGGCATCCTGGTCCAACGGTCTGCGTGTAAATCATTTCGAAAACAAGACTGCTCTGGATAAAAAGATTCAAAACCATAGAAAAGCAGTCCTTGGAGGTTGGATTGCTACCACACAGTGGAGTAAACTTTGAAATGAAAAGAAATGGAAAATGCAGTTCATACTGATTTTAGGAATAACGTCATCACTGCTAGCTCCTCTTGAAATCTCCTCATCATTAAAATGCTCTTGACCCCAAATCAAAGCTCAGATAATGCCTGTGGTCTCAAGTCTATCAAGGCAATGGGGGAGGGGGGTAACAAGTTTCCAGTTGAGTGTTTTGTGCCTGAACTTGGAAAGGAATCAGGAAAGGAATCAACTCCACCCAGCTCTGTGTTCCTGGGATTCTCAGAAACCCAGAGATGGTGCCAGCATTTTCCTGGGATCCTGAAACTGATTTCTGGGATGGACTCACTCTCAAGCGCCCGTGGAGGAAAGAGGGGCCTCCTGCTCTCAGCTTCCTTCTAAAGGAATGTGCTGTCCAATAGAGAGAGAACGCAAGCAGCATTGACATTTTAAACCTTCTATAATCCCTTTAAGTGCAAAGAGATCAATTTTAATCATATGTTTTATTTAACCCAACATATACAAAGTATTATTTCAACACAATCAAGGTAAAACATTATTCACAAGACATTTTAATTATTTTTTTAATCAAGTCTTTGAAAGCTGGTGTGTCTTTCACAGTAGCAGGACACCTCAGTTCAAACAATAAATTTCTTCAGCAACAACTGACATGTATTTAGACTTCACAAAACTTACAGTTTAAAAGTAGACTCACATACTCAGGTTGTTCCAAACGTACATTAAAATTTTCCAATAACTGAAATCGAGTTATCAATTTCCCCATTTAAATCAGTTAAAAACAAAGTAAAATGTAAAATGCAGTTTCTTGGTCATCCCAATAACCAACGTCTCGGGGGCCTACTGTATTGAACAGTGCAACTCTAGAGGACTTCGTGGGTTCTTTTTCATGAAGAATCTGGGGAGTAGAAGTATTCTGAATCACTTCCGTTTATACACAACTTTGAACATGGCCAAAGTGTCTTCTCGCCTTCTGTTTCTCTCTCATCTTTTCTTTTGCACAATCCTCCTGGTAGGTAAGTGGAGCAGATGCTATGTTTATTGATTTGCAGGCAATCTGAGGCTCTGAGCAGGTCCAAGTTCAAGTTCTCAGAGCATGTTAGTGATGGAGCAGGTGCCGGAATTCCTGGTCAGTCTTCACTGTTTTCCTACTCAAAGCAGGTTTCTGACACTGGGGCTTAGAGCAGCAAGTCTAGCGTTAAATTGCATCCAAAGTACTTGGCATTTTTCATTTGTTATCCCTCTGCATCTAGTTGCTGTTTGAGTAAAAGTATTGGCTGCCGGTGGTGTTCCTTTGCACATTCCTACCTCAAGGCCTTCACACAACCCAGCGAGTGTGCCTTTTTTCTCAGGCTGGCCATCATGTTCTTCCTCTTTTCTCTTTGCTCCCAGCAAGTTGTACTCTGAAACCACAATTTGCCTCATGATTACGCTAACAGAGATGGTTGCAAACTGGTTATCATTGGTTGGGGCAAAGATGCACTTTATATAGTGATCACCTGTGGGAAGTCAGATTAGGATACTGTGCTCCGAGGACTCCTGCTCCAGTGCTCACTACACCCACCTGAGCAAAAGATAACATCCTCATTCCCTGGCTCAGCGCTTGCCACTGCCCTGCCAGAATTTTGTGGTATCAGAAGCAGCAGGACGGCCACTGAGACATGTCCCCAGGTGTTACTGGGGTGGAAAGCTTCCCACGCTATTCCAGTGCATCAGACCTGTTCCACTGGCCTCCAAGCATCGTGGTTTTTCCTACTTGGCAGCTCTCGTCCATCCAGAATGCCTGGCCCAGGTTAGGAGCTGATGAATAAGTAGGTTCGTACAGTAAGACAATAAAGCACCCAAGAAGGGGAGTCAGGAAGCAAATAATAATCACTGCTTTTGTAGACCCTGTTTGCTGTTCATATCAACTTACGTATAGACCCCGATTTTTCCTGGTCATTGTTCTTAATGTACTTTCTCCTTGACCCTCTATTGTCTCTGACTGCAGATTCATTCTCCTGCTGGGTCATTGCAGTGGGGCAACCAGGCGCAGGGCCGGCAGGCTGGAGGGCCAGGAGGCTGGCAACCCCCCCAACTCCCAGCAAATATTGTATGCTTTCTTTCTCTCTGGTGTTCTCTTGTGATCTTGCCTCTTCTGTAGTCACATGTCCTCTCGTAGCCATCCCGGAGTGACGCCGCCCTTATATCCCGGGCCGCCAGCCTCGGGTGTGCACACTTACACATGCCCACACCCATATTCCAGGTGTCCATACTCAGGCACACATGCCCCACTCTGACGCTTCCAAGTGCATTCTGTGTTGACACGATCAAGGCCACAGTTGATAGCCACAGAGGCTAGTGGAGCAAAAACCTGATGAATTCACTTACCCAACAGTTCTGTTCTCAGGATGCAAGAGGCTTATTATCTAGGACCTAGATTTCACAATGTGTGCACAGATTCTTCCCTGGGGAAGAAATTAAAAGAACAGAAAGAGACAGGGGGTGCAAGGGACATGTTTGATAAGCACAGGGGCTACAGCATGGGTTATGGAGACAGAGCTGGGTGTTAGCTCGGGGGTTACACTTTTGTGTTACTGCAAACCTTGCCTTCAGCTTCCTCACCTAGAAGGCAGGGAAGCCTCATAGGACACTTGCAAGCCTTAAATGACATGCATGTAAAAGCACTCAGTAAGGGGTCAATATGTGGAAATTGTTATTATTATTGTTATTTTATATTGTTTTTCATGAAGAAGCCCCAAGGTATGAAATAGGAAAAGGATTTGTAACAGTAAGTTTGTTGTTTTTCGTGTGTGTTCAAATGAATTAAAAGATGTTGCAAATACTGTAGTCTACTTAATAACCTCTGCTGCTTTCCTTCAAATAGAAACACTCCTTTGAGACAGCAGGTGTCCAGTAATAAACAGTCAGTTCCTCAGGTGTCCTGCTGCCCAGGTGGCAGGTAAGCAGGTAAGCTGTCAGGACTTCCTAGAAAGCAATGGCTCTCCCTGCACTGCGCTGCATGGTACCTTTGCCTTTTCCTTCTGTCTGAAACCCAGCCTTGATGCCTGGAGGTGAAGAAGCCCTTGTGAGCTCTGAGGTATAAGACCCATATGGTGCTGGCACATATGGCCACGTTGGCAGCACACAGACCGCAGGGCTGAATCAGTTGGGTTTTTGGCAGGACAGATGGCTCACTCCAGTAGGCTGACGGTGGAGACTTTGAAGAAAGGCACTATTCGAAAGGTGTGATCCATGTTGGGGAAATATGGCTCAGAGATGGTGCAGGAAGCCTTTACCACCTCTAGCCCTGAAGGGCAAGGGAAGGAGGTGGGGAAAGCAGTTGTAGGGACAGGGCTGCTCACAGAACCTGTCCACCTCTTAGGACATAACCTAACTGTGTTGACACATACAAAAGAGACTAGAAGGCTAATCACCCCAACCTTACATGCTCCCAATGGTGGTGCCTTCCAATGGTCAAACCCAACCAGAAGTCTGAGGGTAAAGGCACTCAAGTGACACAATCCCACGGCACTGGACATGTTGGAAGTAGAGAGTAGATCTGTATAAGCCAATGGAAAATATCCTTGTGTGGTGTGGCTGGGGTCCCCTGGACTTGTGTGATTCAGCAGCCCTGCACATGTGAAGGGGGTCAGAGCAAGAACACTGGAGGAGCGGATGTCCCTGATGGCACTGGGAGCCATCGTAGCAGCCCTGAGCTAACTACTAAAGGAACATCTGGCTTTGTGAGGAAAATAAACCCTTATGTGGTTAAGTCACTTTGTCAAATTTCAGTTACATGTCTGAATGCTGTCCTATGTGGGATATATGCATTTCATGTGTTTTAAATTTGTGGTTATCATTACTCAACATAAGAGATATCTGAGTCATTATTCCACAATTATTTCTTGTTAGTTGAAAGTCAAAATACATCATTTCTTCTTGCCACCGACCTATCTACTTTGTACTTTGTAGATAGGTCTTGGAGAAAATCATGATGTTGATAAAGGTAAGTGAGAGGGAAGGATGAAGCCAGCAGTGGGTCACTTGGCTGGGGCAGACTTGACCAGCCTCTATTTACTGCTCCTGACTCCTGAGAATGACTCCAAAATCACCCACCTGGGGCAGGAAAGTATACCCATTGGGGCTCCAGTCCTTTCTCTTCAGTCTGGTAGGGCTCAGTGTGGGTCATCTCCGGGTCCAGAATTTAGTGCTCTGGGTTCTTCCCTGCTCCCTGCTGAGCTTCACCAATTGCTCCTGCTCCTGAGTCTGTAGCTGGGGGTCCTCCTCTTCTACATGAGATGATTGTTTTCTTCCTTTCTTGTGCCAGTTCCCTATTCTGGTAACTGGTTTAGGCTCTACCTGGCCTAGAGTCCAGCCTTGCCCTTGCCAGCTGCCCTCTCTATGCCCATGTCTTGGCCGCAACTCTAGCCAAGGCCCATGGCTGGAACCCTGCGATCTGTGAACACCTCTCAGACACCATCTGCTTCCTTCATCTTGGGATCAGTGCTTGCCTTGGGGCTCTTGCTGTTGCGTTCTACCCACCTGCTGGCACTCCCCAAAACCCCTTCTCAGAGCTCTGCCAATAAGCCCTTGGCTGGAGTCCTCAACTGAGAGTAAGGTATCTTTTTGGACATTGCAATTTGCACTCTTGGCTGAAACACAGCTCCGTCTGCCACCTCCCAACACCAGCCCCTCCCTCTCAGCTGACTCCTCAATGGCCTGCAGCTCAAGAGGAGGAGAGGGAGCAGTAGGAATATAGTGAAAATGCTGCTACTGATGATAGATGAAC